ATTATTTATTTTCCCTATCTCTTAATTATATTATATTTTTTAGAAGTTTAACTTATTATTAGGTGGTTTATGTTCATTGTCGAGATTCGAACCCAAGTACCTTAGAGTTGGAGGCTGAAACTCCAACCACCGAGCTACTATGATCTTTTAATAATAACTTACAAATAAATTATATTTATATACAAATAAATGTATATCCGTATAAATATATAAATATAAAATCTATAAATAAAAATATATTTATATATTTTAATATATATTTAAATATTGATATATTTATATATTGATATATTTATATCTTTATATTTTTACATATATTTATATTTTTATATATTTATATCTTCATATTTTTACCTATATTTATATGTTTTCATATTTATATATAAAGATATTAGTTTTCTATACAAATAATATTATAATATAGTATATTATACTATTAGTATAGTATAGTATACAAATTATTAATTTTGTAATTTATATACAATGAAAATAATATAATGGTATATTAGTATAGTATAGTATATTTGTATTCTAATTTTTAATTAAATTAAAATTATGTTAATAATGTATATTAATATATGAGGGGATAATATTGATATATTGATATATTTGTATATATATATATATATATATATATTTATATATATTTATATATTTATATTTTGATATATTTATATATTAATATATTTATATATTTATATATTTATATTTTGATATATTTATATATTTATATATTTATTTATATCCTTATACATTTATATCTTTATATATTTATATATTTGAAAAAAAAATATTAAATTTTAAAAATAATATTATATTTTTAAAAATAAATATAAGAAAAAGATTTAAAAATATATATAAATTATATTTACATTTACAAAATATTAAAGATATATGTTTATATCTTTACATATTTATATATATTTATATATTTATATGTTTATATTTACTTCTAATAGCGGTTGCACCATCGCTCGAGCGAGATTAGAGTCGCTCAAGCGAAATACAACCCGAGAATGCCAATTTTGTGCAGGGGGTGTTTCGCTCGAGCGAGAAGAGTATCGTTCAAGCGAAATACATTTTAGATAGCGGTTACACGAGAACCGCTCTTAAAAGCTCACTTAGATAGCGGTTAACGTGAAACCGCTATTATATGGTTTCAATTATGATCGATCAGAATGCAATTATGACCGATCAGAACTCTTTTAATCGATTAAATCTCATTTCAATCGATTAAAACAATTTATGCACAACGTTTTAATCGATTAAAACTTATTTTTATCGGTTAAAATAACTTGAAAAGTTTTACAAGAAACTTATATTTATATATTTATATTTTGATATATTTATATTTTGATATATTTATATTTTGATATATTTATATATTTATTTATATCCTTATACATTTATATCTTTATATATTTATATATTTGAAAAAAAAATATTAAATTTTAAAAAAAATATTAAATTTTTAAAAATAAATATTAGAAAAAGATTTAAAAATTCTCAATTCTACATTTTTGTAAATTCTATCATTATATTATCATGCTCATTATATCAAAATGTTAAATACTTTTAAATATTAAAATTAACTTTATAAAAAATTAGGAAAAAAAATTTAATGCAAAAGAGTTCAAAAATGTATTATAATATTGTCAATTTTGAGTTTAATTATATTGTTCATTCTCAAAGTAGAAAAATATAATTTAAAATTTTAATACTAAAATTAAAAGATTAAATAATAATAAATTTAATTCTTCTTTTCATCAATCATAATGAAAACTTACATTAACTATTTTTTTTGAATATTATGTTTTTAAATTTGCTATTAGAGAAAACCTTTCAGAATTTAAAATGTTAAATACTTTTAAATATTAAAATTAACTTTATCAAAAATTAGGAAAAAAAATTAATCCAAAAGAGTTCAAAAATGTATTATAATATTGTCAATTTTGAGTTTAATTATATTGTTCATTCTCAAAGTAAAAAAATATATTGTAACTAGTTTAATTTAATAAAATATAATTTAAATTTTTAATACTAAAATTAAAAGATTTCTGTTGCATGAGGTTTCTTCACTTAAAAGATTTTGCAAAATGCCTCTACAAATGTTTTTAACAATTAAAAACAAAGTATTTTGACAAAAGCTTTCTCAAATGCCTCTACAAAGTATTTTTAACAATTATATTGAGTTTAATTCTACAAATTAAAAGATTAAATAATAATAAATTTAATTCTTTAAATTCAGTAGCTAGAAACTAAAATTATAGTTTCTCTGTTTTAAATAATTAAAATAAATATTTAAAAATAAAAATCAAAACTAGTATTATCTTAAATTTATTAAAAATGTAATTAAATATCTATTTTCTTAATTTTATTTGTTTCAAACTTCTCAATTCTACATTTTTGTAAGTTCTATCATTATATTATCATCCTCATCTCCTCCCATGTTCTACTTTATCTTTACAATAGTCAATATTTTTAACTAATTTATATTTTTAATTATAATTTTTTAGTATATATTTCGAAATTAATCAATTCTAATCTATTATTTGAAAAACTAATCAATTCTAATCAATAATTTAGAAAACTAATCGATTATAATTAATTATTTGAAAAAATTATCAAATATGATCGATCATTTGGAGAATCTAATCGATCAGAATCAAATATCGCTCGAGCGAGAGTAGTGTCGCTCAAGCGAAATACAACCCGAGAATGCCAATTTTGTGCAGGGGTCGTTTCGCTCGAGCGAGAAGAGTGTCGCTCAAGCGAGATACATTTTAGATAGCGGTTACACTAGAACCGCTCTTAAAAGCTCACTTAGATAGCGGTTAACCTGGAACCGCTATTATATCGTTTCAATTATGATCGATCAGAATGCAGATTATGACCGATCAGAACTATTTTAATCGATTAAATCTCGTTTCAATCGATTAAAACGAGTTCTACACAAGCGTTTTAATCGATTAAAACTTATTTTTATCAGTTAAAATAACTTGAAAAGTTTTACGAGAAAGTTTTGCGATATTTCAATCGATTGAATCGCGAAACAATTGATTAAATCAACTTAGAAGATTTTTTGTAAAGTGTTTTAATTGATATAAACATTGTCAGTATCGGTTAAAACAAATCTGTTAAAGAATCAAGAACGTTAAATTTTTTTTTATAAAAGTAATTATTATATATTTTTTTATTTTATAAAAATGATTAATAAAAGAAAATTTTATTATTTTTTTCTTTTTTAGGTGTAAAAGTATAATTAAATAAAAGATAAATATATATACTTTTGCATTTTAATTTTCAAATATTAATTTTTTTATGAAATTAATTTTAATTAAAAAAATTAAAGTGATATATATATATATATATTTTCTTTTTAATTTATTAATATTATCAAATTTTAGCTTAATAATTAAAAAAATTACCAATAATTTAAATTTTAATATATCTATAATTTTATATAATTATTAATATAAATTTAATTCTTCTAATAATATTAACACATTTATTAAATTAAAATTATTTACTTTAATTAATTATTTTAAATTTTTTTAACGATTTTTTTTAAATAAAAACAATAAAACTTAAAATTAATTTCTAACTAAATCTTCACATATTTATGGTTAATACTATATTATATTATTATGTTTAATTAAATTTTAAAATAAGTTCACTTTATTTTTACACTTTTATATAAAAATGACTAATATAAACTTAAAATATATATCCAACTATTAAATTATCCAAGATATTAATATAAATTTAAAATATCAATTCAGTAATTAAAATAATTTAATTTTTTATAAATACATTGAAATACATTTTTATTAACATACAAGTAATATATATATATATATATATATATATATATATATATATATATATATATATAAAAGAGACTAAATTAATAATTAATTTAATTATTGATTCGATGACCGATTCGGTGACCGATTCGATAACTAATTTAATAATCAATTTTAATTTTTTTATTCACATGCTAAATTAAAAAATAAAATTAAATAATTATATTACTAAATTATTTAATAAGTTAGTAAACTATTTTTTAAAATTTTTATAATGCTATTAACAATGTTATCACTTATTTTAAATTATTAAGTAGATTTATATTTAAAATATTTTAAATAAAATATTTATATAAATGAAAAATAGTTATCAATTTAAAAATTATTTTTTTAGTGATCTGAAAATTTAGTCACTAAATCGAGTTACTAAATATAAAAAAATTCAGATCACCACTTTCGGTCACTATTAACCATTTTTCTAGTAGTGACTGAATCAGTGACTGATTCGGTGACTGAATCAGTGACCGATATCTGTGACTGAAATTTTAGTCACTAAATCAGTCACTAAATATAAAAAGGGAAATCAGTCACTGATTCAGTTACTATCAGTGAATGAATTTTTCAGTCACTAATTCCGGTCACTATTTGGTGTTTTTCTTGTAGTGTGTTGGGTATTTCCGAGGGACTAATAGCAGAGAGATTCTTACAAATGGGTCATAAACCAACCATATACGAGAATATAACACTACCTTCAACCCAAAACCTTAAGGCATTAGGTTATGGTCTCTTATATGGTTGAGTATTTCCGAGGGGCTAACAGCAGAGAGATTCTTACAAATGGGTCATGAACTAACCATATAAGAGAATATGACACCATCTTCAACCCAAAAACTTAAGGCATTAGATTATGATCTTTCTTACTTATAAGTTACTCAACTTTCACATTTCTACCTAATGTGAGACTTCAAACTTGAATTCTTAACACTTATTCATATGATCATCAACAATTATTTATATCAGAAATAGTTGTTTAAGATAATAATCAGTACTTAAATGATTCACGATAGAAACTAGCTATGTTAACTATAAATCTTCGAATGTTTGTATAGAGTAATATAGGTTTTGTTCTTGTAATTACATCCTCAAATATGGACGGGGAATTATTGACATTGGATAATACAAGAACTGTAGTAGCTAATACAAAGTATAACCATCATCATAGGAAACATGGAAGCCAAGTCTACAAGGTGGAGCTTTTTCATCATACTCAGCACAGCAACTCCATCTTTTCTTCCAATTGGCACGGCCAGTGTTTGGTCTGTTATTCTTTTCATTCCATTTGTACACAATTACTCCAGATTTTTCACTCCAATCCCCATCAATTCCTTGGTGTGGTGGAGCCAGTGAAAATAGACCTTTATCTCCTACAACATTACATTTACATAGTTATGTTAAATCTACAATAATTCTATGAACACAACTTAAACACAGATTCTGAAGTATTCTTTGGGGTTATTTGTTTAATTAGATTGAAGTTTTACTTTAAAACATACATTGGTCTTTCGTGAAAACCTTTATTTAAAACTCTAATTCTAATCTGAGATAAGAACAGAAAAATAAATTGATTTACATATTACATACCATTGGTGTGGCCGTGGAAGGAGCAAGCAATAGGAGAATTATCTTGACCTGAGTAAAGGATGTTGCATCTCAAACACCTTTTCTTTGTTTGAATATGGAATGTGTCTGCTTTGTTCTGAGACTGTGAGCAGCACTTGACCTGAAATGATGGCTTGCACAAAAGGGGGCTTTGAGAGAAGCTTAGAACAAAAACCATTCAGATTCACCCTTTTAATTTTACTTGGCATATGTAAGAAATGAAAGAGGGAAGTAACCAGTAGCAAAAAGTGTGCTCTTCTTAAGAGTTCAGAAGGATTCTGTTTCTGAGGGCAAAGAGTGATGATAACGTTGGATTGTTCTCACTGGCACTGCAACAGAAAACGACAAGAGATGCCAAATATCCCAAAAGTTTAAATCACTGAAATAACATTTAAGATAAATATTTTTTCCCTCTACAATATCTAGTTTTACTTCTTTTAAGAAAACGTTATATATATATATATATATATATATATATAAAGTTATTTAAATGATCTAAATTAAACTAAAGAGATAAAAACTTTTCCTAGAATATTTAAGAACACTTTTGGACAAATTATAAGGTTATTCTCTCTTTCTACACATAATTTAAAATACACTATTTGAAGGTGTACTTAGTAAGATATTTACAATAATTATTAAAATACATAAAAATGTGTATTCTACTATCTTTTTTCAAACTCCATATATATATAAACAAACCATAGAATATTTATGCTTGGAATAGCTAGTTCCTCTATAGAATCATTAAAATCCTAATTGTTAGCTTAACCAACCACTGGTTTATAGATAACCCTTTTCTTGGCAGCATTGAATTGCCTGATCAACGTTTTCCTCAAGTCCACACTTGAACACAAATCCTGCATCTGTTAGCTTCTTTGACGATAATTCTGGTGTCTTAAGACCTTCACCTTGTCTTCCCTGTCAAAGTCTTTGAAACTGTTAGCTTCCAACAGCTTTCATCTATATATCACTTGTTCTTCTTTACCACTCAACTTCACTTGTCATACTTTTTTATCTTCTGATTTGGGTTTTATGAACCCAGATGCACACATCTTTGGAATTAATTATATCACTTTTCGTTCGTGCCAAAAATTAACCTTGCTTGCCAAATCTCAGATCCTACTTTTTATTACATAAAACCAGAATGACTATTTTCTTTTGGCATTGTTAATACAGCGTCATAAAGGGAAAAAGGAAGAGTGAAAAACAACATATATTTAATGATCATCTTCTCAAATATTATGTAGAATATGGATTAACCATCTATGACTAATAAAGTTGCACTCCTACCACACATGTAACCTCTTTCTTTGCAATATCGCATTGTTTCATTAAGCATTTCCTCGACTCCATACTTGAAGATTACAAATTATTAGCTTAAACAACTGTTTATTACATAAATCGATTGTAGTCTCATCATATGGATAAGCATCCTATGATACAAAAGGAGGCTACACAGTACAAACCACCTTATAGGTAACAATTTTCTTGGCAGCATTGAATTGCATCATCAATAATTTTCTCTAGTCCATACTTGAAGACAAATCCTGCATCTATGAGCTTCTTTGACGATAGCGCTGGTTTCTTGATACTTTCAATTAGTTCCAACGAGCTACAAGAAGAAATAATTCACTTGTTGCAGTTAAAGTTATTACTTAATGAGAAGTCAAATGTATAATCACTTTAAAAAATAAGAACTCACTCTGGTGTTGGTAGTTGAAATTTTGGGTATTTGGCATAAACAAGTTCAGACATCCTTTCACGAGTTACCGTACATAGTGAGCAATTATACCTCCCTTTTACATTAGGATGTTCCAGCAGAAATATATGTGCTTTAGCCACATCATCCACATGCACCAATGATGTCTGAAGAACCACACCAAATGGTCCTTTCTTGCCTACATAAAATTTCCCCTTTTTTAGAATCTCAAGCATATACACTCAGTCAAAAAGGAGAAGTCACCATTATACCATCAGAACTGAGTAAAAAACATTAAACATATAAGTAATATAAAATTTAACCACTAATGTTAATTAATGTCAAGAGATTAAAATGACTAAAATTTGTTTTCAAATTGCTGTCACGTACCAAATGCGACATTCAATGTAGCATCGACTGAGCTAGGAAGCTTTGAACAAATGAAGGGTCCACAAACAAAAGTTGGAATTAGAGTCACAACATCCAATCCATTTTGTTCTCCAAATTCAAGCACTGTCTTCTCTGTCAATGTCTTTGAAACTGCATAAGACCAACCAACTGGCTTTGAAGCTCTAAGATAATCCACATCGCTCCAATAGGATTCATCCATCATAAATTCTTTGCCATTCAAATACACAGCAGAGGAACTAGAGGTGTACACAACCCTTTTCACAGTCTTGGAATTGAGGCATGCCTTCAAAATACCAAGTGTACCATCAATGGATCTTTTGGTCACCACTTCTTCGGGTTCCCTTAATTCAAAATCAACTGGGTGAGCAACATGGAAAACTCCAATACAACCTTCAATGGCTGCACTAAAGCTTTCTGGATAGCTGAGATCTGCACTGAAAATTTGTAGCCTCTGGGATGCTCCAGATAAGCTGGTAAGAAAGCTGACATCTTTCCCGTGTTCTACTCATTTAAAAATCAAAATTACTGTTTAGGTCTCGTCAATCAAATTGCAAGCTAATTAAAATTCAGAAGACTACAGAAAATGTTGGTTCTTTTTCTTCGAAAGACCATATATATCTTCCATAGGAGACAATATTATTTGCAAACGATAAATGTGTTGATTCTTCTGTAACTCCCAAATAAAACATGTTAAATCATGCAACAATCATTTCGAAATAACAATTTCCAACGCAAAACATGCACTTCAAGCTGAATTCTCTAGTATATAACCCACACCAAGAGGTTATCAGGGAATCAATATTGATGTTCAATATACATGCTCAAACTATATGTTCACAAAAGAGCTAGGAGGAATGTAGCATTTGATTTAAAATCCTATATACCAATATAAAAAATTTATGATGGAAGCAAAGACAGTGTTCTAACTCTAAATATTTAACATATAAGTTGCTTTTCTAGTACCTGAATTGGGTCTGATAGTGGTGTTCACAGAGTAGTCATTTTCAAGGAGGGTCTTGATAAGCCATGAACCAATAAAACCTGTACCACCAGTAACACACACCCTTCCTTTGCTTTCTTCCATTTGCGTTTCTTCTGAATTCTCTTTTTGTTTCTCTGAACACTGTTAGGTATGAACTTTAATTTCAAATCTTGGTGAGCGAAATGAAACTTGTGGTCTTAGTTCTTTATAAATGGATGAGTTACACTAAATTACTTTACTTTTTCTTTATTCATTTCTTTCTGATATTTTATTGGCCACGCATTTGTGTTAAAAAAACTCAAATGAACACGTGTATGGAAATTAATTATATCACCGTTGACATTTTTTAATATTGGTGGCTTTTTCCATGTGCTTGTTTGGTATTTTTCTGGTTATGGTTAATTGCAATTTTGTAGTTATTGTTTGTTGGAATGGTTTTTTCAAAGGCACATTCTCCATTCTTAATGTAATTTCATGTTTTCTTCATGTATCCTATATAACACATGTTAAATGATAAAAATGCCCTTTGTATTTCTAAATCGATGTTTTTGAAAACAATTTAAAATAATGTGAGGTAAAAAACTCCCTTTAAAATGAACATTATTTCCTTGTTGAAAATAGTGAGCAAAACCTTTCAAAATATACTAAAAATATTATTTCGTAGAGTATTCAAGAAAATCTTACCTAATAATTTTTTATTATTTTCACATAAAATTTTATTAAGAGTTCAATTCAACATTGTCTACACAAAGTTCATTACAAAGGACCTCATAAAACAAACTATGAATTATTATATGTTGATTATGAATCTTTTCTGTTAGAATATACATTTTTTTATATAAAATGGAATTATTATTGTACTTAAAGAAGATGAACACCATATTCATGTAGCAAGCTATTTGAAAACTCCACAACTCTAGCACTTTTATAAAACAAATGAACATAAATTTGTCAAACTTAATGCAATACAATACATATCATTACATTGATTCAGCACAGATCTTATTACTCACGCAATTGCTAGTTTCTATTGCCAGTGCAGTACACACCGTAAAGCATCAACTCCAAACAACAACCATTTTTCAGCACACAAAGTTCTTGTTTAAATGCATGGACAATCATCATAATCTGTGACATAAAAAAGGGTGTATCTTACTTAATAGGTAACCCTTTTTCCTTGCAGCATTGGATTGCATCATCAATCATCTCCTCAATTCCATACTTGAACACAAATCCAGCATCTATGAGTTTCTTTGATGATAAATCTGGTCTCTTTATGCCTTCTATTTTCTTGAACCGGCTACAAGAACAAATAACCAAACCTTTGTTGCAATGAAATCATAGAAAAACCAAATACTCAAATAAAGAAGAAGGTCAAATGTGTAAGAACATGAAGTACAATTGAAACTCACTCTATTGCCTCTGGCTGGAATTCTGGGTATTTTACAGAAACAAGTTCAGAGATCCTTTCATGAGTCACCAAACATTTTGAACAATTATACCTCCCTTTTGCATTAGAATGTTCCAGCAGAAATATATGTGCTCTAGCCACATCATGCACATGCACAATTGGAGTCTGAAGTACCAAACCAAATGGTCCTTTCTTGCCTACATAAATTTCCCCTTGTTTAGAATCTCAAGTATTTGCCCTCAGCCAAAAAAGGGAACAGTCACAATTATACCATCATAATTGAGCAAAATCATAAAACATAAGTATACTGTACGAATATTTAATCCTTACTTAAAAGCACAGAATCATGGTGTTAAAAATAATACAAATTTAACCACTAACTTCACAAGTACTTAACATTTTGGGTGTTGAAGTTGACAGGTTTCAATGAATCTTTTACCATATTGTCTTGTATAAGGTATCTTGATTGATTGAGAGAAAAGGTGTTTATATATTGTCTGTGAGCATAATTTCTGTTAAATGTTGAATTGTTTATGGCATCTTCAGTATTTTGTTTCAGTTTTCAAGTCATGACAGTTGATGCTGTCTTCAAAATAGATTCTGTGAATAAAAGGAAGAGAGTATTTAAAAACTGTTTTTGGTCTCAATTCTTCTTGAATATGAGATGGAAAATAATGTTCATTCTTAAATTTGACAGTCAATTTATGTTGATGATCAATCAATTGAATCAGACAGGTTTAAGTTTACTTATGAACACTAAAAATACTGACCAAAAAATGTTTCCTAGGAGTCAAAATTAAATATCAACTTCATTTGATATCAGAGATTAAAATGACTAGAATTTGTTTTCAAATTGCTGTCACGTACCAAATGCAAAATTCAATGTAGCTTCGACTGAGCTAGGAAGCTTTGGGCAAATGAAGGGTCCAAAAACAAAAGTTGGAATTAGAGTCACAACGTCCAATCCATTTTGTTCTCCAAATTCAAGCACTGCCTTCTCCGTCAATGTCTTTGAAACTGCATAAGACCAACCAAATGGCTTTGAAGCTCTAAGATAGTCCACGTCACTCCAATAGCATTCATCCATCATATCTTCTTTGCCATTGGAACTCACAGCCGAGGCACTAGAGGTGTAAACAACTCTTTTCACAGTCTTGGAATCAATGCATGCCTTCAAAATACCTAGTGCACCATCAATGGATCTTTTGGTCACTACTTCTTCTGATTCCCTTAATTCAAAGTCAACTGGGGTAGCAACATGGAAAACTCCAATACACCCTGCAATGGCTGCACTGAAGCTTTCTGGATAGCTGAGATCAGCACTCAGAATTTGTAGCCTTTCGGATGCTCCAGGTAAGTTAGTAAGAAAGCTAACATCTTTCCTGTATTCTGCTTTATTTTAAAATTCAAAATTACAGTTTTGGTTTAGTGAATCAGATTTCGAACTAAATCAAATTAAGAAGATTACATAAAATAAGAATGTTGGTTCTTTTTCTTTTGAACACCATAGATATCTTCCATAGGAGTCAGTAGTATTGTTTGAATACAATAAAAATGTTGATTCTTTTGTAACACCCAAATGTAACAGGTTAAAACATACAGCAACCATTTAAATCTCAATTTCACAACACAACACATGCAAAAATCCTAGGACCAAATGCAAAAAACAAGTAAAATTATTCTCACCCTTCAAGCTGCATATTCTTGTATATATAACCCACAACAAAAGTTTATCAGGGAATCAATACTGATGTGAAATCTATATGCTCAAACAGTTCACAAAAGAACTATTAAGAATGTAGCATTTGATTTAAAATTTTATTTACCAACATGAAAAATTTATAATGGAAGCAAGGACAGTGTTCTAACTCGAAATATTTAACATATAAATAGCTTTTTCTATTACCTGAATTGGGTCTCACAGTGGTGTTTACATAGTAACCATTTTCAAGGAGGGTCTTGATAATCCATGAACCAATAAAACCTGTACCACCAGTAACACACACTCTTCCTTTGCTTTCTTCCATTATCTCAAGCCTTCTTTCTTCCTCTGATCACAGCAGTAGCTACAAGTTATAATGGAAAGCGACACCTGTGGACATTATTCTCTTCACTCGAATGGATATATATATATATATATATTTTTATTTTTTTTTTGGCTTTCTTCTTCCTTTCTTTTTATATTATCTTAGCCGCATATTTCACCTTTTATGTTTTTTATTTGGGTTTAGGAAAATGTTTGGTGAAAATTCCAAATTTTATCTATATGTTCCACAATTATCTTTTCTTATCAAGTGTAATTTTGATGGAACCTCTATTGCAGGTTCTTCCTTTTTAATGAGTAGTTTGATCCTGTTGTCAGAGTACAACAAAAATACTAACTAGTTGTGGACACTTGGTGTCTCAAACATTCTTGTTAGCTTATTTTGTAAACCATTTTTCTTTTAAAAAAATAGCTATAATGTTTGAGATAATAACTAGAAAAAAAATGATTTCAATTGTTTTTAAATGTATAATTAATTATTGCGATGACAATTTTAATTAGGATCATTTTTTCTTATATTATTTTACTGAAAAACGGTTAAAAAATGATTTCATTTAAATACAATAAAACTAACTCTTAAATAGAAAAAAAAAGGATGAAGAAAGTAAGAAAACATATAGTAAAATTTATGGTAACTTAGAAATAAAGTCTAAGAGAAAAAAAAATTGTTTAAAAATAAACATAACCTTCAATTTCTCATATACCTAAAAAGACTTGAAAATTATAGAAACAAGTATTTTAATTAAAAAAAGCTAAAATCTCAAAATAATAACTAGTGTTGTCTTCCAGCTTTCAGATAACATGTGGATACTTACTTTTTGGGCCAACGTGAGAGTAAGGTCCATGCAAGTTGCCCAAAAGAAACACATGAAATTAAAACATAGACAAAATAATTATTTTTGAAAAAACTTTTCTGTTAGTTTTTATTTTTTATTAATTAAAAAGATTTTTTTACCTTATATATCTTAACAAACTATTGTTAAGTAATTCAAAACATATTTTTTAACTTTACTTTAACATATTTTTCCTTTTTAAATAAAGTAGATTTTATTGTCATTTAAGATAGATTGACTTCATGAAAATTCGACATTCACATAATTATTATGTTATTTTTGTTATAATTTTAATTAGAATGTTTTTTATAATAAGAATATAACAATTAAAAATGAGCAATATAATTAAAATAATTTAGAGTTTAATATTAATCATATACATAAAAAATAGATAGCCAAATTAATCAGAAATCAATTTAAAAAAAGTCGAATTGTAATAAACCCAGTTAGCTACTGAAGAAAACGAAAACGCGACCAGAAGACCAGAAGAACATTTTTTTCTTTTCTCAGTTTTCTCCTTTCACCAATCAAAGTCTCTAGATTTCACGTCGTTGTACGCTAATGGCCGCCATAATTTCGCGAAGGCTAAGGTTAACCTTAACCTCCTCGCTCCTTAAACACTCCCATTTTTTTTCATCTTCTTCAACCACTTCGATTTCCAAAAACCCTAACTTTCCAGTTTTCAAACCCTCCCAAATCCCACTCTCTCCTGTTATCCCCTTCAGGTTTCTCTCATCAAAACAATTTTCCTCTCCTCCTCCTCCTCATCATCATCATCATCATCATCATCATCATCCTTCTTCTTCATCTTCGTCTTCTTCTTCTTCAGATTCCGAAGATGCCCGCAAGCCCACTCCAAGCCCAAGCCCATACCCAAGCCAAAACCCAAACTTCAAGCACCAGGAGATCGAAGGTCCCACAGTGGAACGAGACCTCTCCCCACTGGCGAACGAGACGCGCGTGGTTCTGGAAAGCATGATGAGGAACATGTACAGGTTAAGCCAGGTGCTGGCGGCGATGGGTCTGGTTCACCTCACTCTCGGGGCTTGGTTGACGTACCTGACGAAATCGGAGCCCGTAACGGCGGTGTCGGTGCAGAGTCTTGTGGCGTTCGCGTTCCCGTTCTCGTTGGCGTTCGTACTGCGGCGCGCGTTGAAGCCGATACACTTCTTCAGGAAGATGGAGGAGCAAGGAAGGTTGCAGATCCTCACGCTCACGCTCCAAACTGCGAAGCAATTGAACGCGCTGTTTGGTAGGGTTCGTGCGGTTTCGCTGCTATGCATTTTTGGTGTTGCTGTTGGGGTGGGGATTGAAGCGGCTTCCAAATTTACCTGATTGGGGCTTCATAAAAGACAAAAACTGAAAAATTGATGATATCTATGGCCTTTTTTTTTTTTTTCTCTTTTTCCGAACTATGTTAGCCATTCCTATTTGTATTCATTTTTGTGCGAAGAAGAAGAAGAAGAAAATAACCGAGGAATAATTTTCATGTCAATTTAATGTCTCCATTGTTGTTATTGTTATCTTCCTTGTTAAAAAGAATCCAGACGATTAAATTTAATTAAAACTAATTTTAATTTAATGAGTCTAATGAGTTAAAATAATTGTGTTAATCCTTTAAATATTTGAATTTTGAGTTAAATATAAAAGAGTTTAATTTAAATTTTGAGTTAAATATAATTTTTTTCACAAAATATAGTCATATGTTTTCGTCTTTAAATTTTTGTTTTTACATTTAATATTAATTTACTTGTTATTTTATTTTATTCATTCTAATATATATCCTTTTTAGTTCTTATAATATATTTTTAATCATAGAAACATATAAAATTTCAAAGATTGTTAATATTTTTTGTTAAAAATTGGTTTAATTTAACAATTTGTTAATATACTAAAAAGACTAAAACAAATAACAATTATCATTTTTTCAAAATAGATTAAAAGCTAAAAATAATAATTATCAAAAATAAAATATAAAAATATGTGTTTTATTTTAATTTACCTCTTCCATGTTAATAAGAGTTGGATATATTTCATAAATAAGAATTGAATTGAATACAAAATGTATGACATATTCAAGAAGTGAAGAACTTCCTTAGGCTGTTATTGTTGTTGGCGTTCCACGTCACACTCCATCATCTTCGGTGTTCAACCAATTTCTGATTGCGAGAGCACTAACGAACTTCGTCTCGTCACCACCCTTTCACATTTCTCCTTCTGAATCTTGTGAGCAATTTTGCGTCTTCTATTCACTATCACATTATCATTTGTTCACTCTCAATTAATATCTGTGCGTGCATTACTCGAAATTTGTGCACTCATTTGTTCTTTTTCAGGTTTTGTTTTCCAGTAATTTCGCTTCTCTCTCAGTATCTGCCGTTCTGATGTGAAGGCGCATTTTTTTTTTATTTGATTGGCATTTTCTCAGGCTCTTTTTTTCTACAAAGAAACATTTACACATGCAGAATTTTTGGTTAACCCCTTTCAGTGGTTTTGATGTTGTTGGACTCGTGCAGAGGTAGCTTCTGTGTTTCTGTTGTGAATTTCGCCACTCTCATTGATAGTGAGCCATGACGGACGGCCATCAATTCAACAACATCACCCTCGGAGGCCGTGGAGGCACTGTAATCTCTCTAACCTTTCTTTTGCTACTCTTCTCCATGTATGGTAAAAGTGAACAATTTTTTTCCCATTAATCTGTTGCTGTGTTTGAATTAGCGAGTTTTACAAAATTATTACCTGCAATGTGAGCTTGAGAATGTAACATTTTCATGTTTGGTAAAAGTTGTAAAAATGTATTTCCAGGAAACTATGGTTATGTTTGAATTAGTGAGTCTAACAAAATTATTCCCGGAAATGGGAGTTCGGGAATGCAAGTTTTCAATGTTTGGTAAAGTTATAAAAATTATTCTCAAGAATCTATGACTATGTTTGAATCAGAGGTATACAATAGAATAGGATAAATTGGGGCAGAATGGAATGCGATGGATAGGAAGAAATAAAAATTCCATTGCATTTTTTGGATGTTTTAAAATGAAATGGAACAAAGATTTAATATTGTTTGGAAAAATGATAGGATTGAATGATTTATAACTTTATAATTTCCACATTATCCTTATTTTAAATATGGGCCTGTTTGGACACAATCTTTCTATAGTATGATGCAATTGAATGAGTTATTTTTTGTTTCAAATTTTCTATCTTCTACCCGTAAAATATTATTTAATTTGGAGTTATGTAATATTTACTATTTATTTAGTATCCATAGGAACAGACTGAATCTACATGGCCCCTACTCAATTGGCATTGCATGCTCCATGTCAAGTTTTACTATTCATTGTGCTTTTTAATGCAAAGTTAATAATAACTGGAATCGAAAAATTGAAATTTTCTAGTGAATTTGTGAATGAGACTGAAATTGGCAGTTGAGATGTATGACACTTCTCATGTAATTGGGGTTGCAGAATCCAGGGCAGATAAAAATGTACTCTGGAGGAATCGTATGGAAGAGACAGGGTGGTGGTAAACTAATTGAAATTGATAAATCTGACATAGAAGGGGTGACATGGATGAAGGTTCCAAAGACTAACCAACTTGGTGTTCAAATTAGAGATGGGTTGTACTACAAGTTCACAGGATTTCGAGACCAGGTTAGTTCGCTCTGCCCCTCCTGAATGTGCAGTTTCATAAATTGGATATGCAAAAATGAATTCAATCCTTTGGTTTGGTTTCTTATATTTTGTTGCTTCTATTGACACTTTGGCTGATGTAAATACTGAGTACTTGCACATCAACTGCTATCAAAGGTTGATTCTTATGTTGTTATTTATACATTTTTGCAGGATGTTGTAAGTTTGACCAATTTTTTCCAAAACACTTGTGGAATAACAGTACGGGAGAAGCAGCTTTCTGTTAGCGGACGTAACTGGGGAGAAGTTGATCTAAATGGTTGGTTATATTACATGAACTGACTTATTTGTTGTAATTGATATTCTCCACGTGATTTGTCACATATATCTTAAACATCTCTTTGTCATATTATGTTAGGGACAGAAAGATCTACAAACAGAAAATTCAAGAATATAGAAAGAAAGTAGAGAAAGAATCAAGAAGTTTTATTGAAAGGGGGATAAAACTTCAATAATTCCCTAGAGTTTATACTCCGACACAGAGAAAGAAACCTTTTTTCTCCAAATGCAATCTGCCAAAAAAATCCCCTTTTTCTAACAGTATCTCACGTACTTATACAATTCTGTTACTCACTCACGCATGCGACTACTAACTAACCACAGAACTAATTCTTCTTTCTTCTCACATACACTTGCCACGTCTTAGGACTTTTATTTACATCTATGACCTGTTCTCCTTCCACGTGTCTAACAATACCACCCCCTAAAGATGAAGCCTTGTCCTCAAGGCAGAAAGTGGGAAATTGATTAATGAGCACAAATTCATCTTCTCAAGTAGCCTCTGAAACTGGTAGACCTTTCCAATGGATCAAGTACTGTTTGACTATTTTTCCCTCTGCTTTAACCAAACGAGTAGACAAAACATGGGTTCGAACTGCTAACTCCTCAGTGTCCAAATCAGCAGGCAACTCTGGAGAAGATTGGTACTGACCAAAAGCACGTTTCAATTGAGAAACATGGAAAGTTGGATGGATTTTTGAAGAAGGAGGCAAACTGAGAGTATAAGCAACAACACCCACACGAGCAGAAATCTGATACGGTCCAAAAAAACGAGGGGCAAGTTTCTGATGAATCCGAGAAGCAATTGAGTGTTGTTTGTGAGGGCGTAAACGAAGGAAAACCCAATCAACCACCTGAAACTCCACTGCACGTCTGTGTGTGCTTATCAGCAAAACGCTTCACGTTATCTTGAGCACGAATCAAATGATGTCTAAGTTGTTGTAAAGCTTCATCGCGGTCCTTCAACCCATGAACCACTGCTTCCACATGAATTTCCCCCTTCACCAACCGCGAAATCGAAGGAGGACTCCGACCGTAAAGAGCCTCAAAAGGAGTAGTACCCAAAGACGCATGATAAGATGTATTATACCATAATTCCGCCCAAGGAACTCAAAGAGACCAATTGCGAGGATGATCTGCAGCAAAACATCTAAAGTATTGTTCAAGACAATGATTCACCATCTCAGTTTGACCATCTGATTGGGGATGGTAAGTTGTGCTAAGTCGAAGCTTTGTCCCTTGCATAGAAAATAATTCTTGTCAAAAGTGACTAACAAAGATGGGATTACAATCACTCAATATAGAAGATGGCATGCCATGAAGACGCACAATCTCCTTAGCAAAAACTTCTGCAATTTTCCTAGCGGATGTTTCAATAGGGCAAAATGAGCATATTTCGTAAGTCTATCAACCACTACTAACAAAGCATCGTATCCATTAGATTTTGGCAAACCGACAATAAAATCTAAAGAAATCTCATCCCACACTTGAGATGGAATGGGTAGTGGTTGTAGTAACCCTGCGGGAGAAGAAGCTTCATACTTTGTGCGTTGACAAATATCACAATTTCACACATAATCCTTTACTCTCTTTTTCATTCCCACTCAATATATATTCCCAGCCAAACGCCTATAAGTGCGAAGCAAACCAGAGTGACCCCCTACAAATGAAGAATGATACTCATAAAGTAGATCAGGAATTAAAGATGAAGATGCTGATATAACCAAACGGTTGTGGTAATATAAGGTACCACCGCGCAAAATATAACCAGGCCGAGAATTAGAATCTTTTTCTAAATCATGAAGCACCTGTTGCAAAAAGTGATCCTGCTTGATCTCCTGTTGAATAATCTCAAATTGATCCCTTTGTGGAAAAGAAACCAAAGCTGCCAATGGGAGGTCCTCAGCATCACGACGGGACAAGGCATCCGCAGCCTTATTAGAAGGCCCTGGTTTGTACAAAACCTCAAAATGATACCCAAGGAGCTTGGAAACCCAACACTGTTGATCTGCAGAAGCAACACGTTGCTGAAGAATATGTTTCAAACTTCGCTGATCAGTAAAAACAACAAACTTCCTACCCAATAAGTAATGGCGCCAATGTTGGATAGCTAAAACAATAGCCATTAATTCCTTCTCATAAACTGATTTTGATAATTGACTAGAAGACAAAGCCTTGCTATAATATGGAATAGGTTTGCCTTGTTGCATTAATACAACTCCTAAACCAGTGCCAGATGTGTCACATTCAAGCTGAAATGGCTCCTAAACCAGTTGCTTATGTGCAGTACTACTTTTTTTTTCCTCCCCAATTGGCAGTTGTTTCTTTTCTTTTGGTATACTCTAAGGGTGTGTTAATAGTTGTGAAAATTAAATTAATCATTCAGTGTTATAATCGGTTCTAATTGAATTAGTTTTTATTTGTCTAATTGTTGAAAAGTGACTTTAACTTAATATGTCTAAATGCATCAATTTTTACATTAGAAATATATGTTCTGGTATGTTCATGAGTTTCACATCATTTAAGAGTCGAGATTAAGGGTTGTTTATACACACCCTCTTCTCTCAACCCACCGAGGTGCCTTTTAAGAATAAAACCGTAACGTTCCAAACTAAGTAAGTCATGTTTTAGAATGCTAGGTAAGGACAAAACCGTAACTTATGTTTTAGAATGCTCTCTAAATCTAGTTAAGAACAAGAAAAAAATATTCTTTTAATTGAAAAGGAAAAATAATATTGGAAATAATCATAAGCTACAAATTTCAGTGGAAAAAAAATTAAGATAGGAAAGTTGTTTTATGTATTGGTGACGGTGGTTGACTTTTCATAGAGGAACTTTATCCCATTCTTGTTTTCTTTTGCAATCAAATTGTTTATCTTCATGGTGAACAGCTTTGTTTGATAATGATAAAATTTGCTTGACCATTTCTTCAGTTATACTAATCTACCTGTGGCATAGTGGGTTTTATGTTTCTAGTTCCATTTCAGGAAATATGTTGGCTTTCATGGTTGGTTCAAAGCAAGCTTTTGAGGTGTCTTTAGCAGATGTCTCTCAAACTCAGCTTCAAGGGAAGAATGATGTGATCTTGGAGTTTCACGTGGATGACACAACTGGAGCTAATGAGGTACATGTATATTTTCATGCACTTATATAGTCTTATAAGCTTTTACAAATTCACAATTGAGTTTTTAGGCAAACTGGCTGCTTGTTGCTTGAAAAATGTCCTCACTCAAGTTTGTGTTTGTATAATCTTGAACAATGTTCAATGATTGTGCATTTTTTATGGTCTAATCCTGTTTATGTTATGTTATCAGAAAGATTCACTGATGGAGATAAGTTTCCATATACCAAGTTCCAACACCCAGTTTGTTGGTGATGAAAAAACTCCTCCTGCTGAGGTGAGTTTGTTTATGAAAATAGAAGATCCGGTGTTATAATAACTACTACGTTAAATGACATTTAGGCTTTTCTGCATCAGGTTTTCCGCAGCAGAATAATGTCCATGGCTGATGTTGGCGCTGGAGGTGAAGATGCTGTTGTTACATTTGAGGGTATTGCGATCCTTACACCAAGGTAATGACTTTAGATGCATATACATATATTCAAGTATTTTTGGGCTTTTGGCTTCTCATAGTTGTCTGTTATACCACTTGTGTTAATATCCTTCCAAATAAGTAATATTATAATAAAACTCTATACTTCTATGTAGAGGGCGATACATTGTCGAGTTACACATGTCATTCTTGCGGCTTCAGGGACAGGCTAATGATTTCAAAATCCAGTATAGCAGTGTGGTTCGCTTATTTTTACTTCCTAAGGTTCATTTCCTGATTCTGTAATTTTATTTGAATGATATTTTATTTCCATACTAAGTGACCAGTAAAATTTCGAAGTCATTAGCCAGCCATGTCTTTAAATTTATTCTTTTTTGGACTTGTAAAGTGTAGTCACAATTTCTCATATGTATATGTAGTCTAATCAACCACATACCTTCGTCATTATTACTCTTGATCCCCCTATTCGGAAGGGACAAACTTTGTACCCTCATATTGTGATGCAGGTAATTGCTGCTCAATGTTTCATGGTTTCAAAATTTATGTGATGTGCATTTTACTTGCTTTTGAACTTAACATTGTTTTGCTCATTTCTTTTTAGTTTGAATCTGATTATGTTGTCCAAAGTGAATTGACAATTAATGAAGATCTTTATAACACAAAGTACAAGGACAAGTTAGAGCTATCTTATAAGGTATTTCTTAAACTGCTAATGGTTGATTCATATGTCCATATATAAACCCGAGATACTGTTCTTCAAGGACTACTTGGGAAATGGAAAAGGGAAAATTTCACATTTTCGAAGATTGAGCGATGCAAGAATTTAGTAATTGTTGGTCATGCATATCACGTGATGCAGTAGCTGACGTGTTTCATTTTCAATTCAACAACCAGGGGCTTATTCATGAAGTATTCACCACAATATTACGTGGCTTGTCTGGTGCCAAAGTGACTAAGCCTGGAAAATTTAGGAGTTGTCAAGATGGTTATGCTGTGAAATCATCTTTGAAAGCTGAAGATGGAATTCTGTATCCGCTTGAGAAGAGCTTCTTCTTTCTACCTAAGCCTCCGACTCTTATTCTTCATGAAGAGGTATAATCGATTGTGCCTAGAGATCACGAGATACCAATAACAGGTTGATGGCACATGATATTTAAACAAAGGAGGTTTTATTTTATGTTTTTTTTTTTTTTTCCTATTAGATTGACTATGTGGAGTTTGAGAGGCATGCTGCTGGTGGTTCCAATATGCATTATTTTGACCTTCTTATCAGACTAAAATCTGAACAAGAGCATCTCTTCCGTAATATTCAGAGAAATGAGTACCACAATTTGTATGAATTTATTAGGTAAATATCATTGCCAAATTTTATGTACAACTAATTGTTAAATAAACTATAAACAATTGTCTTTTACCTGCACATGCAGTTCAAAGGGCTTGAAAATTATGAACTTGGGAGATGGCCAACCCACTGTTGGTATAAAGAAGGTTCTCGAGAATGACGATGATGATGCTGTTGACCCACATCTTGAGCGCATAAAAAATGCAGCTGGTGACGATGAAAGTGATGAGGAGGTGATCAAACAGATATTTTATATAACTTTCATTCTTATCTTTAGTTCATGAGTAGCATGTAATAAATTTTGTCCTAGTTTTGGAAATCAAGGAAATAACATTTATTTATGCTGACCAACATCTGAATATAGTTGGGGCAAAACTTCAGTGAACTCGAAGCAACATTTCAAGTTTTGCAATTCTTGATTTTACATCCATAAGCTTGCAGCTGACCTTCGCCTATTTTAAGTGTCTATTTCTTGTGTTCTATGTTTTGATTTCTGTTGTGTGTTTATGTTTGTTCTGTGCTTCTGTACATATATATTCAGGCTGGAGGACTCTACGCAAGTTGCTCCACTTTGGTCGTTGGGAGCTTACTGTGGCAGGGTTTTTCTAGTCTTGTTTGTTCCTATATTGTCATTAAATGGTGGTAAATGTCTATAGGATTCAGATTTTGTTGCTGATAAGGATGATGAAGGTTCTCCTACTGATGATTCTGGGGCAGACGATTCTGATGCCAGTAAAAGTGGCGATGAGAAAGAGGCAAGTGATTTTCTTTTTTGCCTGTCATCTTTGTGATGCTTCTCTACTCTTTAAATCTATGGTGTGTCTGACACCTTTAGTGATGACCAATTTCCAGAAGCCCGCCAAGAAGGAAATAAAGAAGGACCTGCCTCCTAAGGCATCTACTTCTAAAAAGAAATCAAAAGATGACGATGATGGAAAAAAGAAAAAACAGAAGAAGAAAAAAGACCCAAATGCACCCAAGAGGGCAATGTCCGGTTTCATGTTCTTTTCTAAATTGGAAAGAGAGGTGCGTTCTGTTCTTCGTCATATACATTTGCGCAACAGTATGGTTTTGGATGTGGGTGGGTAGGAATTTATATCACCAAACTTCTGCATAGCTGCCCAGCCTCCGAGTATGGGGTTTACAAATGACAATGGCAGTATACTCTCCTTTCTTTTTAGAATAACATTAAGAGGAAAAATGAAATAAGCTTATCCATAAGTTAAAATATTTTTTTAGAAAACTAATATAACAAGGTTTTTACAAATTAAATTAGGTATCAATTATTTTTAGCTTATGAAAAAACTAATTTTTTTTTTACTTTTTTTTGCTCTTAAGTGCTTATAAGAAAACTCTTAGCCTTGTTTGAAAGTGTGAAAGAAACATGGAGAATTTGCTGTGAAATGACTATTACTCACTTAATTTTATTTCATTTAAAAATAAGAGGAAATTGTATGATAATAGCTATGTGAAATCAACACAAAAGCAAAGTGTGTATGGTTTCATATCAATCATGGTTGGTCCATTATGCACCATAGATGAATTGCAATAGCCAAATTAGAATGCCTGAATAATTGATTATGTAGGTCAGATGTACGAACCATCAATGAACACGAAGCACAGAATTTCCATGCACAATTGATTACATCCATGACATAATCGATTGTCATCCATCACCTTTGTCCACAGGGGTAAAATGGTCCAAAACCAGTTCACCTTTCTCCATCTTTCTCCCTCATCCACCGAGCCAGTGACAACCCTAGGACCCACCTATTTTTCTCTTAAATCAGCTCAAATCATCGCAGCCAAACCCACACAATCCACCCGCATTCCTCCATTTCCATACCCTCCCACTCCCTTTGCGCGCATTCCAACACAGCTATAGTTTTAACACAACTGGATATTTTTGGGGAGTTTCTTGGTTAGGAAAAGAAAGAAATCTTCACATTATCGGACAACAGTTAATGTTGAGATCATCCAGCAAAACTGCAATTAATGCAAGTGAGCTTAAATAGGTAGGTACTATTCCAATGTGTCTGGACGGAGTCTGGATTCATGAACCAAACTAACTGTAGCCAACTATGACCTTTAGCCAAATTGTTAATAGCTAGCTATTTTGATTGTAAGAAAACGCAGAATGTACCTGAAACGGTTAACTAGTCAAGTAGGATTTTAAATAAGTTGAGTTCTCTTTACATAATATTTCCTGAAATTATTTTAAATGTTTTGACAGAATCTCAAGAAAACTAATCCTGGAATTTCATTTACGGATGTTGGAAGAGTACTTGGAGAGAAATGGAAAAAAATGTCAGGTATGCATTGTTGCCAACTGTTTCATTTCACGCAGTTCCACCAAGTCCAATTAATGATCTGAGCTTTATTATTTTTATTGACTAAACTGTATATTGTTTTACCTATCGAATGCACAGCGGAAGAGAAGGAACCATACGAGGCAAAAGCACGTGAAGATAAACAACGTTACAAGGATGAGATTAGTGACTACAAGAATCCCCAACCCATGAATATTGATTCAGGAAATGTATCTGACAGTGCCTAAGGCTGGTTTAATATTGAAAAAAATCCTCACTTTCTATATAAATGAAGTTCTCTGTAGAAACTTACTGTCATAGACATGCCAGCCTAGTGTAAGTAATGCTCCATAATTTTTTACTGGAGATGGCATCTAGTCGTGTGCTTTGTAAATTGACATCGGTTAATGTTCTTTGAAACGGCTAGATAACTTGTGAAAGGTGACTGGAATGTGCTCGAGAGTTTTGTGCCTTTCGGGGTTGAAACCTCAGTTGGTTTGCATGGCTTTAAGGGAAGTCAGGGGAAGGATGACCTTGCTTTGTTGACCAGGTTCTTGTGCTTTTTTTATTGTTCTCGCAATGATCATTAATTAAAAATGTCCAATGTAACTTGCAAAATGGAACTATTCTAAAGAAAGAGCACTACAGCTGTGCGCAAACCTGTCAGCAATCTTGAACTACCGTTCTCCTATAACAAGTAGGCCTTTGATAGAATCCCGAGTTTCAATTTTTTCCTTCCGGATTAATCAGTAATATAGACCTACTCAAAACAGAATGACTCCAAGCAACCCACAGCGAATTTGAGTAGAGTAGTGTTGTGCAGAGGAGCTCACAGACAGCAACAGATTTGAGTAACACATTGCTGCTGAAGTACCTCAGGTTTACTTGGATGTTAATTGAGTGGTTGTAATTAATTAAAAGTAACTATGGAAATTAAAGTTTGTAGAAAAACTGAGAAATTGATTGAGGTCAGTTGAGCATAAAATCAGAAATAGTTTCGCAGTATATTCTATACATTTTTGTCTCCATCTTGGAAACTTCTCTCTGCACCAAGCCACCAACATTGAACGAATCGGGTTATGAACACGTTTACAATGCAGCAGAAAAGCCTTTGCTTTATTCCTATAAAAATATGTATGTTTGTCTTTTTGTTTGACATTAACTACTCATAACAAATAACTTGACGTCATGCTACAGTAAGATTGAACATACATAGTTATAAATTGCGGTTCTATATGCGACCATGTTATTAAACATAAAGAAAATTATGTTATTCTAATTGTTATTATTTATTTTTTTACAATTGTGCTGGGATGATAATAGATTAAAAATAGTATTATATTATTATATGGTTGATACGTGCTTAATCCGTGAGATTTTTTTATTATTAATATTTCTTACAAATGCTTAATATTATATTTCATTATAAATTTGAATATTAAAAAATCACTTCTCAATAAATGTATTTATTTCAAAATAAAAACGACAATTATAATTTTTTACAAATTTCAAGTAACTGAAGAGTTAGTGTTGTAAAATGTTTTTAACATCTAGAATAAACAACATTTGTAAGTATATGTTCCTCAAATAACAATATTAATTTCTTCATAAACAATAGAGGATGATATTGTAAAAATGTTCCAAATGCAACTTTACATCGTATAGTTTATCTTAATCTAGAAAAAAAAAAGTTTTAAAAACATAGGCGATTATCTTTTAAAATTAAGTTCAGCGAAAAATACCACTAATAGTATAGTTAAATAATAATGACCATTTAAAATAATAAATTGTCTAGCTCAAAAACAGTTTATATTATTTTAGAAAAGGAAAATAAATTGCTAAAAGACTCTGTTCAGAGTAGGAGTGAAATATAAAGAATAAATTTTTTTAAGGAAAGAAGTAGAAATGAACAAAACTAAAGTGAAAGAAAGTTATTTTGACGTATAGAAATATAAGTAAAAGAAATAGAGTAACTTCTCCCTACTAGTTTGGATGAGATAAACAAATTGTATATAAAAAATTTATGCTATTTAAAATAATTGTGGATTTACTTTTTATTACTTTTTAAAAAAAAAATTTTTTTGTAAAGTTTGATATAATTTCTTCTATTTCATTCCAAATATCTAAAACAAACAAATTATAAAATAACTCTTCCCTTCTTCTTATACTTATTTTCTTCTCTCATATATTTTACCCAAATATGTTAATAAAAAAGGAAGATTGACTGAAAAATCATTTTTTGACCATGTCCTTTTAAACTAGGTAGTTGTGTGAATAATTTATGTAAAGTTAATTTTTGTTAAAATAAAGAAGGTAAAAAGTTAAAAATAATTTTTGTATTAATAAATTAAATAAGTACTCGATTATATAACTTAAATTCATGTTTTTATAATACGTGTTAATAATTGATTATGTGGTCACTTAACTAAATATTTGTTTTGACATAACACTTTAATAATAGACTATATTGGTACCTAATCAATTATATGACTTATTTTTAGTACGTCACTATACGTAAACAACCGATTATCTGAATCAGCTTATAATAGATTTTTTTCTATAAATGAATGTAAATTTTCTTCCATTAAACATATCTTCTAGAAACGATTAAAACATTAAAAAGAATGCTTGTGTGATTTTGTGAAACATTTTGAAAATCAAACTCAAAGGAAAAAGGTTATTTAGCTATAAAATGCAATGTTCGAAGATGAAATCATTCTTGTTTTTCTCTTTGTGAATCTTTATTGTATTTTGATCGTACGTGAGATGAACTACATCAAATTAGCATGAAATTTGTGAGGATAAACATTTTTAAATTGTTATTATATGTTTTTAGATCTTGATTAAAGATTGTTGTAGTCAAGATTTGCAGATTAAGTTATAATCTGATTACTAAACAAGTTTAATAAAAAAATTAAAATTACTTAATTAGATTGGATATAGATTCAAAAGAATAGACAAGTAGTATGCTATTTTTAAATAATCGCCCTTTAATTAAACCAAAATAAAACAAAAAAATAGATAAAATTGGTAAAACAAAAAAAACTAAATTTTTTTGTCAAATTAATTTGGATAAAAAAAATATATTTAAATCAAATTTTTTAATATAAATTTTTATAAAAATTAAAATATATTCTAAGTCAATGTTATATAATAATTATTTTATTATATTTTTATCTTATTTAAACAATTATCTATCTTTCACCTTTTAATATATTTTATATTTATAATTTTAATTATAACTTAACCATAATAATATTTTTTTTCATAAAAATATTATTATTAATAAATTTATTATATTATAAAAATATTTATTAAATCAAATTCAACTTAGTTTAATTTTTAAATTCTAAATTTATATCTTCAAGTTCAATTTAAAAACAGTAATATTTGTTAATATATTTTTTTTTTTAACTTGTCGTCTCCCACGCAGTGAGAAAAACACGGCTAAATCCTATCCCTCTCAGCAGAATAGGTTGCAGGGTGACACGAGCGAGGAGAAGAGTGGGGAAGAAGCGTGCGAGGCACACGTGTGAGTGACAATAGGACGAAAAGGACCTCTCAGAATACGAGGGTCAGATTGGGCGGCTGCTACCTTCTTCCTTTCTCACTCACAGCTCACCCTTTTTTACCCTTTCTTTTCCCAATTTACCCTTTCCTTATATTAATAATAATGCGAAAAATAAATGTTTAACTTTTGGTGCATGATTGGCATTACCAACTAGCCCCAGCAAAATCACTTTTATGTAAAGTCATTTGTATGTTTTCCTCTTTGGTTTCATCCTTCAAATGGTTAAGGGGGGTGGACATGTTTGGAATAACCCATCTTCCCAACGTGCTTTTTTATTAGGCCAAACATGTGCTTCAAACTTTTCTTTTCATTTATAGAATTGTATCAATTTCTCATAAAATTTGAAGGGTTGACCAAGTTGACGGGAGAAGAAGGTAAATTGTGAAATGATTAAAATGGTGGGGCAGAAAGGGAAAAAAAGAAAAAGGTAGTGGAGAAGTTGGTAAATGGCTGATGGAGCGACAATGAATGAAAAAAAAGTATCCTTTCCATACGCGTCTCTACGACGTCCATATTCCATCTCCCCTTTCATTACCAACCTCTCATCTCTCTTTTACAAATCCTCTCTCTCTCTCTCTCTCTCATTTCTCATCTCAACAATCTTCACCACCCTCTCTGTTTCTCTCTCTTTTCGTCGTTTTCACCAAAACGCACAATTATGGCTCAGAAGGCCGAGAAAAACGACACCGACTTCAAGGTCCCCGAACCAATCACCCCCTGCGCAACCACCACAACCACCGCAGCCTCCATTTCCGAACCTTCTAGATTCTTCGACGCCGCCACTCCCGCCACGTCGTCGCGGTCGCCCAAGCGCTCGCTCCCGCTCGAGGACGCTGCCACCGCGGACCGGACGGCCACATCGGAGCCCAAGCGCGCGGTGAACCGGTGCTCCGGTTGCCGGAGGCGCGTTGGCCTGACTGGATTTCGGTGCCGGTGCGGGGACCTCTTCTGCGCCGAGCACCGGTACTCTGATCGCCACGACTGTTCCTACGACTACAAGGCCGCCGGGAGAGAGGCCATCGCCAGGGAGAATCCCGTCGTGAAGGCGGCGAAGATCGTCAAGGTCTGAAAACCCTATAAACATCGGAGAAGGAGAAAAAACATCGATCGATCGCTGAGAAGAAAGGGCGGAAACCGAAACGACGGCGTTTCGACGTGATTGGAGATTCATAACTGTTACGATCGCGGTTAGGTGGTTAATTTAATTACTCGCGGCGCGTCTTATCTCGGAGATGCGAAGCGGCGCGTGGTTGGGGAACTAGGAATTTGTAACCGGAAAGATGAACTTCTCGGTGATCTTTTTTATTTTTATTTTTTTTATGTATAATTTTCTTAATTTTCATGTTTTTTTTTAATTTCGGGCTGGGATTTATAAATTATTGTGATTATTATGTTAATCAGTGGATGGTTTTTTCTTGGCAGAAAGTATATTTATTTTTCTGTACTTCTGTTATTTATTTTTTCTAAAATAAATTGTTTGACATCTGACCTCGCCCTTTTTTAATTCTCATAATATAAACGAAAATTACAAAATGTAATAACGAAAATTACAAAATGTAATAATGAATATTTGATTCCAGTTAAAGTAAATTATCAGAAAAAAAGGGAAATTAGTTTGTTTGACTCGAAATAAATCATGACTATATTTCAGTTCTGAATATATTTAAGTTTTATTTTTGTAATTGTTTTTTCGTTGAATTAGTGTTTGTGTGAAATTTTTATGTCAATATGATGTGGTTTTATTTATTTAATTAACGTGAGAAGTAATTATATTGATTACCTTGAAATTTTAGTTATAAGTAATAATATTTTATTGATATTTTTAAGTTAAAATTCAATCATATATAATCATGATGTAGTCATAATTTCTGACCAACAATTTTATTGGGCCATTTGTTATAAAGTTTTATTGCATTAATTTTTTTTAATTATTAGTTAATTAAAGAATTAGGATGGAAATGTTTTTAATTAAAATAAAATATAAAATGTATTATTATTTTTTAGAGCATAGGATTCAGGTGTGGAGTGGTAAATTAGGTTGAAGTTGAGGGTATAGTTGTCCAATTGGGCTGTACTTTGATTTGGAATTTTCGAGAATAGCGATGATGATAGAAAGTTGGGTGGACCCACTTGATTAGACATGTGACATTTTTAATTATTATCGCGATATATTGATGAGTGGGCTAATATCGTGTCGTAATGTAGCCGCAGCGAGATTTCGCAGTTACGGTTTTATTGTTGGTGACGGTGACACTAAACTTTTTGGGCCAATTGAAACCAATGGGGTTGCGGCACGTGTATGGTGATAATTGGAGTCGCGTCTGCTTGATAATTGCGTTGTTGAGTATTTTACTTGGGTTGAAGAATCTCGAGGGAATGGCACTAGAGGGGATTTTTAAAACCATGCCATGCCTTTGTGCGTAAATCATGTGTGATGATGATGCATCCATCTTTTCAATTAATAATATATTTACATATTTTGCATTCCCATATACATTAAGATTAATCTTAATTCTTCTTTTAACTGATTCATAATATACAATTTCTTTTAACTGGTGATTGTGTTTTGATAAGAATTTTCGAAACACTGCACATAACAAAATGTTAGCAGACGAAGTTTAATGAAAGGAAAAGAGATGAGATTCAAGTGCAGAAAGAATAAAAAAAGAAGAAATTCGAAAGTAGGATACAGAGTGAATGAAGATGAGATATGTATACAACAAAAGAAGAAATCCGAAAATGAAATTCAGAGAGTGTATTAAGATGAGACATGTATAGCATGTAATATTATGTTTGTATTAACATGCAATATTTATTTAAGGTATATTACATGCAATATTTATATATAGATATACTACATTAGATACATGGCTAATATGTTACTGTTATAATTTTGTGTCTTTAGGGGAAATCTTGGCCTCAAGGTTTAAAAGATGAGACTGATGTTTCAAATTATAATAAAAAACTCTTAAAAGCAAAAATTTTCTCAGGTTCTTATTGAAAGTCTTATAATGTGCGTAGGTGGAAAAAGTTGTTATTATTATAGCTGAACCCATATGTTTCTTTAATTGAGAAAAACATGGAACACATGTATTTATGAGGAACTTGGAAGTTCTAGTTAGTAATCTTAAAAGGTTCATAGAACTTTAGAGAAAAGTTTACATTATCCCATTGTTTTATTAAGATTTGGTAATAAGGATGAAATTTAATATAAATAAAATTCCCTATATTTAAGGTCTAATCGATGTCAATTAGTATTTTATTTTATTCATGTTGTGCTTTTCTTATGTGAAACTTAAAAATTTTCAACATTTCTTCCTTTTTAACTAAGTTGTGATCCACCAAATCTACCTTTGACTCACTTGGTAGATAAGGGAGAGAAATACGTGAGGGTTAGCAAAAAAAATCACATATGAGGGTAGTTCTTGTAGTATAGAATGGTAGTTTGTGATGTACCACCACTCAGCTATCGGTAACCATTTGTTCCACTGGGATGGAGTGTCCGAACACATGCACCTAAGGTATGTTTCTAAGCAACAATTAACCACCTTAATTTAACTGTTAGTCTAAGGGTGATAACTAGAAGATAATTGTATTTAGATACCATGAACATCCATGAATTCTCTCCAGAATGTGCTGATAAAAATGGAGTCCTTGTCACTGGTTATAGTATGAGGAAAGCCATGTAGTTTGAAGACATTATCCAGAAAAGTTTGAGCCACATCCTTTGTAGTGTAAGGGTGAGGTAGTGCCATAAAATGAACAATCTTAGTTTATTAACAACCACAAATATAATATTTTTACCCGAAAAATTTGGCAAACCTTCTGTAAAATCCATAGAGATATCCTGCCAAACTTTGAAAGTGATGAAGATCTTATTTGAATCATTTGATAAAATGAAGATCTTGTTAATTTAATGAAGTCAAAGGTTATTATAGTGAAGTCAAATGTTACTTGGTTAAAAGGGTAGAGTAATTAGTGAGTCTGCATCTATATATAGGTATATTCATTCATATCTCTTTGTTGCATGAGGTTTCATCATTTAAAAGATTTTGAAAATGCCTCTAAAGATGTCTAATATGTTAAAAACCAAAGTAATCGGATAAATGGTTTTTAAGAAATTGTTTTAACTGATATTATATAAGTTTTATCAGTTAAAATGTTCTTAACACTTACATAACAGGTTTTTAACTGATTGGTTTTTGAAATAATCGATTAAAACCTTTTAAAACATTCACTGGAACTGTTTTAATCGATATACCTTCGAATTAATCGATTGTTTTCATTAAAGAGTTTTTGAAAACCTTCTGTCAGTATTTTAACTGATATAGATTCGAAATAATCGATTAAAATGACTTAAAATATTTTGGAAAGTGTTCTGGCAGTATTTTAATCGATAAAAACTCGAAACAATCGATTAAAATAACTTGAAGTGTTTTGGAAAGTGTTCTATCAGTATTTTAATCGATACAAATTCGAAATAATCGATTAAAATAACTTGAAATATTTTGAAAGATGTTCTGTCATAATTTTAATCGATGTAAATATGAATTAATCGATTAAAACAATTTCTGCTAACTGTTTTAATCAATTAAAACTGGCTGTTATCAGTTAAAATCACTTAGAAAATTTTATGAAAATATTTGGCAGAATTTTAATCGATTAAAATGCGAATTAATTGATTAAAACAACTTAAGGGATTTTTTACAAAGTGTTTTAATCGATATAAATGTTGTCGTATAAGTTAAAAAATATCTGGAAAATGATCAAGAACATTTTAACAGATTAAAAAAAGTTTTAACAGATTAATTCAAGACTTTTAACAGATTAAAAGATTGTTTTAACAGATTAATCAAATCAACAATTTTCTATATAAACAGGATTGCTTGAGTCTTTTAAAATATACTTTTGTGCAATCAATCAAGCAATCATAAAAGCTACTTTCAAGAAAGAATCACGTAAGTTTTGTGGAGTTTTTCAAAGTTCTTTCTTGAGACAATTTTTGCATTCCTTTAGTGAAGAAACTTATTCTGCAGAGCTGCATAATCCGGGTTTGATTGTTCTAGTTTCTTCTCTTTGTTTCTTTACATTTCTTTACTGTATGTTGGGTGTCTAGAATTGTTGGACACTGGTTTTGTAACTGGAATTTGGCTGCAGGTTGGTTCAAGAACTGGAAGTTGGTTCTTGGTGAAGGTTTAGGTGCAAGAACTGGAATTTCGGTTCTTGTGGTAAGGTTGGGTGTGTGATTGTAATCTGTAATCTGTAAAACATTCAATCTAGTAGAACTCAGCTGAAATTTAGCTGAGAACTAGACGTAGCCCTGAGATTGGGTGAACCAGTATAAATCTTGGTTGTATTTCTCTAAACCTTACTCTCTTTAATTTTGTTGTTGCCTTTATTTCAATTTCTTGTTTTGCTTGATTCAAGAAGTGGTCGAACTCTTAATCTTTGAAATAGATAATTTGTAAATTGCGAAAATCTTTCAAAGATCAATTCACCCCCCTCTTGATCTCAGCCTCTTTTTCTAACAATTGGTATCAGAGCAAGGGTCTTGAAAAATACTCAAGACTTTCGGTCCAAATCTTTCATGACTGAAAACAAATTACCTTTTTCTGAGGGAGCTTCTATTAATAGACCTCCACTGTTTTGTGGTATAGATTATCTATTTTGGAAGATTAGGATGAAGATCTTTATTGAATCTATTGATAGAAATGTTTGGGATGTAATTGTTAATGGTCCATCAATTACAGAAAAAGAATGGTCTAGTTTAAATGATGAAGAGAAAAGAAAAGTTCAAAGTGATTGTACTGCTAAAAACATAATTACTTCTGCACTAAACATGGATGAGTTTTTCAGGGTTTCTCAATGCAAATCTGCCAAGGAAATGTGAGAAGTTCTTGAGGTTACTCATGAGGGAACAACTGATGTAAAGAGAGCTAGAAAGCATACTCTCATAAGAGAATATGAGTTGTTTAAAATGCAAAACGGAGAAAGTATTGCAGATGTGCAGATGTGCAGAAACGCTTCACTCACATCATCAATCATCTAATGGGCTTAGGTAAGACTTTTGATAAAGAAGAATTAAATATAAAGGTTTTGAAATGTCTTGACAAGTCTTGGTAGCCTAAGGTCACAACAATATCAGAGTCAAAAGACTTATCCATCATGACAACAACTTCCTTATTTGGCAAATTCAGAGAACATGAGATGGAAATTAACAGATTCAATGAGCAAGAAATCTCTGAAAAGAAAGGTAGAAGCATATCACTTAAAGCTGAAGAAAAAGATCAAGAATCAGAAGAAGAAAGTGAAAATCTTGGACTGCTAGTAAAAAAGTTTAACAAGTTTCTCAAGAGAAAGATTCAAGATAAAGAAAACCACAAAAGGTATGAAAATAAATCTTATTCCTTTAACTATAAGTGTTATGGTTGTGGTAAGCAGGGTCATGTAAGAATGGAGTGTCCAGAAAAGAATAAATACAATGACAAGAAAGAAGAAAATATCAAAAGAAGAGCATACATAACATGGGATGACAATGATACCTCATCAAAAGAAAATTCTGATGATGAAGAAGCTAACTTATGTCTAATGGCTAACCAAAATTATCAAACCAGTAATGTAAGTTCTAATTCTTCTTCTAATTTTTTGAATTATAACTCATTGCAAGAAGCATTTAATGAAATGCATGAAGAAACCAAGAAACTTAAAAAAGAAAATGATAGGCTAAAAGACATGAACAATTGGCTAGAAAATAGAGTTTGTTCTCTTGAAAAGAAAATTCTTGAAGATGAAACTGATCTTGATTTCTTAAAATTAATCCATGATAATTATAATTGCTTATGTAATAAACCATGCAATAATTGTCCAGATTTACAAAAGAAGATTGATTTTTTGTTACAAACTGTTTATAAATTTACACAAGGTCAAGCTAATCTTGATGTTCTTCTTGGGTCACAAAAACTTATTTTTGACAAATCTGGCATTGGATTTACATATAGCAAGAAAACCAGAAAAACTATTGGAAATAGGAAATCATATTCATCATCTGTTATTAAATGCTTTTATTGTATGAAAAAAGGACATTCTGTTAAATTTTGTAGAATCAAGAAGTATGCTATACCAAGAGGTAGAATGAAGTGGATTCCCAAGAATTCATTTCAAATAACTTGATTGGACCCAATGATTATAAAAAGGGTACTAGATAAATGTTAAATTTGTTTTGCAGGAACAAAATCTGGAAGTTCTTTGGTACCTAATAAGCAAATATTGATTCTAGATTCATGGACTGAGTATTTTA